ATCCATCCAAGTTTGTACTTCTTCGGTGGCCTGTCGAAGATCATTTGAATTTATAGTTGTAGGATCCTAACTTTGAATCTACGCAAGCTTTGTTTTGGCGTTGCTGAGTTGCACTTGCACTTGCACTTGCACTTCAAACTTGGATACATTCCAAGACTGAAGCTGATTGCTGCAACATCTAATATTTTCCATAATGTTATCCAGACCCTGAGGACTAGAATCGGACCAATTATCAAGTATAATATCAGTGCATGCCTTTTCGCCTATCCGCATTGATTCGAAATGGAATGGTTTAGGTCCTTTGGGAGTTTGGTGAGCACCGTAAAGCTGGACCCAAATAGGCTGGTGATCTGAATATGCTGTGGAACCATGAGTAACCGTGGCTTCTGAAAATAATTGACACCAGGAAGCATTTCCAGTGAAACGTTCGAGCCTTTCAAAAATTTGTGCCGAGTCATATCTTCCATTGTTCCAAGTGTAATGGGGCCCTTTAAACCCGAGATCTCTTAGTTCACAATCAAAAAACATTTGTTGGAAGCTTTCTAGTTGTTGTCGAGGTCTGTCACAACCTCCCCATTTCTCCTCGTTAGATAAAATTTCATTGAAGTCATCAAAGACAAGCCACGGTTCTAAAGGGTCCCTCTTCATACTTCGTATTAGATTCCAGGTTTCAATACATTTATTGGTATCGGGGTGACCATAGATACCTGTTAAAAACCAGCTGTGCAGGAGTGATTCGATTTTAGCATCAATATGACTTTTTGAGTAGCTGAGAATAGTTAAATGGACATCCGGTTTCCAAAGGATTGTTAATCCTCCACTACGCCCCACCGACTCCACGTTAAAACAGCCATAGAATTTCATTTTTATTCGACAGAATTCCATTTTTGTTGTGTTCAGTTTTGTCTCTTGTAAGAACAAAACTTCGAGATCTTCCTTTCTGATAAGTTCAGAAAGAGCATAAATGCCACGAGGGTTCCCAAGCCCTCGTGCATTCCAGCTTAACAGTTTCATGGCGATCGGTGGGGCTGAGTATCAACCACCACCAAAATCTGGGAGTTGCAGTCGTAGTTCCAATCATGGGAATTTTCTTTGCCCTTCTCGTTTAGAGGTGTTAGGACCTTCCTCTTGCAGCTCACGGTGATTTTCGGGCTCAGTTAACCATTAAACATCGAATTCAACATCAAAACCAAAGTCCCCAACTCGCCGGCGCTACCCTCTCCTATAGTTGCTTTCTTCTCTTGCTTGGTTGATTCAATCCACTCACTTAGGATGGATACCACTCAGGTAAGGTTCACAAAGACTCAAGCAATTAGGGTGGAGAGGAAATCATGAAGAAGATGAAGGCAGAAAGGCGTGGTAGAACACGGCAGTTTCTTTCTCACGGCTTCAACTAGCTGGACGGGTTCAACAAGGGCAAAAAACACCAATATATATAGTAAGTCAAGTGGCCAACATAAGGTAAGTCGGGATATGGTAAGTAGGCTCGACTAGGGTTAACTTCCAATGGAAGAAATCAACAAGCCACAAAGAGTATTAGCCGTCCAATAGGTAAAGCAACGTTTGGTCGGTTCATCCATTATTCGATGTTGAATTATGGTTCAGTCATTCATGTCGACTGATAAAATTGGTTCTCATCATCGCCCGGGAGGTCGTTTGACAACATAATGTCTAACAACCTCCACCTTGGTGTCAAAGGACCTACAAAGAAAAACGTTTTTCCATTAGTGACACCTCTAACAGAAAAACCGATAAAATTGAAATCATTTACCTGTACCGATGTTTAGAAGCTCTTTGCAACTTCTAAACTTTACCAGTGGCAGCACTTTTGTGCCCATATCTGAAGGATTGTACTGTGTGTGAATTTTTTCAAGTCTTACTACTTGTGATATTATATTCCTAATGAAGTGTAACCTAACATCGATATGTTTAGTGCGTTCGTGAAAGACAGGATTCTTACACAAATGTATGGATGATTGACTATCAGAATACACAACCACATACTCATTCAAAACACTCAGTTCATGAAGTAGACCTCTAAGCCATAGAGCCTCTTTAATTGCTTCAGTGGTGGCAATATATTCTGACTCTGTAGTGGATAGTGCAACTATGTGTTGTAACTGTGATTTCCAACTAACACACGAATTTGATAAGGTGAATACGTAAGAGGAAGTTGATTTCCTACCATCCCTATCTCCTGCATAGTCAGCATCTACAAAATCCTTTAATTTCACGCCTTCTTTATTAACACTAAATTTTAGACCGACGTCACTTGTACCCTTCAAATATCTTAAAAGCCACTTTAATGCTTCCCAATGTTCAGGACCTAGATTAGACATGTACCTACTGAGAGTACTAATAGCGAATCCTAAGTCCGGTCTAGTGCAAACCATCAAATACATTATGGAACCAATCACATTTGAGTATGGAATTTTACTCATGTATTCCATTTCACGTTCATTGCAAGGAGCTTGTTCCTTAGATAGAACAAAATGATTTGCAAGAGGCAATGTGACAGGTTTGCAGTCACTCATATTAAACTTTTTCAACACTTTTGATATGTATGGGGACTGATGTAAGAATACGATGGAATTTGACCTATTTCGTTCTATTTCCATGCCTAGAATCCTTTTAGCCTTTCCTAGGTCTTTTATCTCAAATTCTCCACTAAGATCTGCTTTTATATTGTTTATCCACTTAGGAGATGATC